GATTAATTCCTTGCCTTTCATGACTTGGAATACTTCTTTCCAGCCTATTCTTGCCAGTAGGGTTTCTTTTGAGAAATCAGCTGACAGGCTCATGGGAACTCCTTTGTAGATAACTCTTTCCTTTTCTCTTGCTACTTTAAAGATTCTCTCCTTTTCTTTAATCTTGGGTAATGTAATTATGATGTGCCTTGGTGTGTGCTTCCTTGGGCCCAACTTGTTTGGGACTCTCTGAGCTTCCTGGACTTCCTGGAAGTCTATTTCTTTACCACATTAGGGAAGTTCTCCTTCATTATATTTTCAAATAAGTTTTCCATTTCTTGCTCTTCCTCTTTTTCTTCTGGCACCACTATGATTCGGATGTTGGAATGTTTAAAGTTGTCCTGGATGTTCCTAAGCCTCCCCTCATTTTTTAAAAATTCCTGTTTCTTCACTTTGTTCTGGTTGAATGTTTCTTTCTTCCTTCTGGTCTTAATCATTGATTTGAGTTCCAGTTTCCTTCCTGTCACTGTTGGTTGCCTGTACATTTTCCTCTATTTCACTTTGCATAGCCTTCACTTTTTCCTCTATTCTGCAACCACACTCAACCAATTCTGTGAGCATCTTGATTACCAGTGTTCTGAACTGTGCATCTGATAGGTTGGCTATCTCTTCATTGCTTAATTGTATTTTTTCTGGAGCTTTGGTCTGTTCTGTCATTTGGGCCATCTTTTGTCTCAGCGAGCCTATTACGTCGTAAGGGGCGGAGCCTTAGGAATTCGCCAGGGCAGGGCCACCCACATCACTGCACTGGGGCACTGTACATGGTGGAGGGGTCCGAGAGGGGAACAATGCCACTTGCTCAGCCTTCAGCCAGCTTTCAGTCCATTCCCCCGCCACCCACAAACAAACGGGGTCCTTCTGGTGCTGATTCCCAGGTGGGTGTGGGTTTGTGCACATTCTAGGGCCCTGTGGGTCTCTCCAATGAATTCTCCTGTGAGGCTGGGAGTTTCTCCTGCTCCCTCAACGCCCAGAGGTTTCTTCAGTCGGAGGTCTTAAGGGTTTATTTCCCCACGCTGGAACCATGGGTTGCAGGTCTGTCTCATTCCCCAGTCACTGTTCTCGGTTTATCCGCACATGAATGTGGGACCAGCCGCTGCCTCGTTATGAGTCTTGTCCACCCGGCTGCCCATCTCCACCCCTCCTATCGGTCTAGGTGAGTGTTTCTTTAACTCCTTGGTTGTCAGACTTCCATACAGTTTGATTTTCTGGCAGTTCTGGTTGTTCTTTTTTAAATTTGCTGTTGTCCTTCTTTTGGTTGTGCGACATGGCAAAGTATATGTAACCTACACCTCCATCTTGGCCGGAAGTAGGCTTTCATACAAATTTTAGAAGCACATTATCAAGCTCCACATTAAAAAAATACCACACAATCATTTATATTCACTTTTCTCTTTGTCTATATACATACATAATTCATTCAGCTATAAACTATACATTTGCATTTTGCTTTGTAATGATCATATTTTGCATGGCCTTTAGTGTACTGTAACATTCCTTCAAACTGGTATCGAAGCACCGAGCCACTTCCCACGTACTGCTGGGAAAACAGTGAAAAACTCGTCGTTATGACAGACGAGGCTGTAACAAATACATCTGTACACCATGTTTTCTTCTTTCACTTATCTCCTTAACGTTATCTCTAGGAGTGAGCCTAACAGATCTACATACTTTAGTGGAAAAAGTTTACAATATACGACTTTCTGAGTCGGAAGCAAAGTGCTAGCCACAGACGTGACGTGAAAAGCGAGGAGGACGTGCCGGTCCGTGTCCCAGTCCCCGAAGGACAGTGCTGGCTTTCCCGCACGTCTTCCCGCACAACAGATGGCCCTTCTCTGTGTCCAGGGAGCAGATTCTAACGTCACACACCTAAGGTAACTCACTCAAAACCAGTGTCTCTGGCAAAGACGCTGCCGCATCCCAGAAACACAGGGCACTGGTCACAGAGGTAGACTCCAGACCGCCCTGGGGCCGCGCCTAGCACTCCGCTGACACCAAGAGGCATTTAGGGCCTGAAAAACCGGCCACCAGCCAGGTACACCCAAGGGAGGACGGCCAGCCCACCTGCTGACGGGACCACCCTGTCTTCTGACAAGCCCCAAAGCCTCTCTAAATCCAGTGCAGTCCGACAGCAGAGGTCTAATTCAGACAAGCCTCTGACACCGGTGAGCATGCCTGACCCTCGCAGCAGAGCACCCCCACAGCGCTCTTTCAAAGAAGGGCACCATGGCCTGCCCACTTCTCTGGCTCACTGACAAATACTGTTAACACTTCTTTTCTGTTGCCTACATGGTAACACCTAGACTATAAAACAAAAAAATGAATGACGTAAGTAATTAAAAAACAAAAACTTTCCTCCTAAAAGATTCTCTAGTTCACAAGAAAAAGGAAATATTTTGGTAACTTAAATTTCTTTTTTTACTCAGGAGTAAGTCCCAAACAGATCACTAACAGAAAACACTTCACTAATTTGGCAAAGTCCTAAATAACTAAAGGGGGGGAAACACAAGCAATTTAGGCAATTCAAACTTATTTAAATATCATTCATAATAGGACTAGTGGTAAAAAGAACTTTAAACTTCTCAAGAATGTGATACTGTTACCGAAGCCAAGGATAAAATGTCCCGCCACAGCCATCACATTCTCATGGACCAGCTTCCAGGCAGCGGCGTCCCACTGAACCCCCACACAGAGCACCGGCCGAGCGCAGTCAGCCCCAGGTGCCGCCACGGTCACGCGGGCGCAGGGACAGAGCTGGCAGCTTGGAGGGCTGACTGGACCCAACGACCCAATGTCAAAAGGCACTGTGGAGTTCCCGTTTGACGACTTCTAAAATATACTTTGGTGTTTTCCCCTGCCTAGTGTGGCTCAGTGGATTGAGCACCACCCTGCAAACCGAAAGGTCACCAGTTCAATTCCCAGACACATGCCTGGGGTGGGGGCCAGGTTCCCACTTGGGGGCCTACGAGAGGCAGCCAATCAATGTATCTCTCACAATGATGTTTTTCTCTCTTTCTTCCCCCCTTCCCCACTCTCTAAAAATAAATACATTTTAAAAATCTTTAAATACTTCACTGCTTTTTATTTTTGATTCGAGAGAGAGAGAGAGAGAAAGAGAGAGAGAGAAACATCAAGCTGAGAGAAACATCAATCAGCTGCCTCCTGCGCGTGCCCCAACTGGGGAATGAACCCCCAACCTAGGTACGTGCCCTAATCAGGAAGGGAACCCACGGCCCTATGGTTTACAGCATGACATTCCAACCAACCGAGCCCCACTGGCCGAGGCTCGGGACTTCATTCGGCCGTCACCTGGGAGTCCGCATGCACCCACTCCGTGCCCAGCGCCTCCCTGGCCCCGGGGACACACACAGAAGACACAGCAGGGGCTCCGTCACGGAGCCGACGAAGACCGAGGGCACACGTGGGTGCCAGACATAAAGGCACGGTATGGCTGAGGTCACCGCTGTGGGGGAATGAAGATGTGCTGGGCTGGGCGACAGTCCACGAGCACGGCAGCGTCACCACGGCAGCGTCAGGTCTGCGCTCTGAGCGGGTCACTTCAGTGGCAACACGGAGAGCAGGCGGACGGGGAGGGTGGCTCGGTAACCCGGCAAGGCCCGTCCTGCGTCCCGGAAGCACGGTGCTCTGGCTACCAGGGTGGGCCCCGGACCCCCACCCCAGAGGCTCGGCCTTCCTGGCCGTCCAGGACGGAGCGTCGGCACCGCAGGCTGAGTCCGCGCGGCAGGCCCGCTTCCGCGTGTGAGCCGAGCACAGACAAAAGGGAAGGACGGTCCAAATGGCCGCCAACCCTGACTGCCCCAAAAATGAGAGTACAGTGAGGTTATGACTCCTTCCTTAGTCATCTGTGTAAGGGGCACCTGTTACCAAAAGCAGGCATAGTATTAATAATTAAAAATATCCAATAAAAGAAATGAAATAAGAAAGCAAGGATTGGAACAAGTTTCAAAGTCAAAGGAGGAAAGCAATTCGAAGAGGCTAGCACCGCAAAAGAGCAGCGAGAAAAAGAGCGACGCCCGACGCACTGGGAGCCGAAGACAGCAGAGGGGAACGGGACTCCACGGCAGGGCGGGGGGCAGGCGGGCAGGAGCAAGGGGGTCTCAGACATCAGCGAGCAGCTCCCGTTTTCTCGGTGACACAACGAGGTCACGTGCTGGGAGGAGGAGGTCAGGAATTTCAAGCAGAGGAGAAACAGCAGGACGTCTGAGCGCACCCGAGGGCGGTGTCCTACAGCTGCCAGGGAGCGTGGTGGGCCCCTTGCAGACCCGCTGCACATCGAGGGGGAGGGCCAGTGGCTCTGCTGTGCGGGCGGACCTGGCGCTCAGGCTCAGGGAAGGGGGGGGCGGTGTCGGCAAAGAGCGCTCCCGAGATGACGGGCCATGACGTCCGTCTGGACAGCACAGGGAGTGACTGCGGGCTGACGGCCTGGGCCGCAGAAAGGAAGACCCACAGAGGCAGGGCCTGCTCCGCGCCCTGCTGTGGCCCAGAGTGAGAACAGTGCCAGGCGCAGGACAGCAAATACGCAGAGCTGGCGCCCAAGAAGTATTTATTGCAACCAGGGTTGAATAGAGGTCCTGATAGTGCTGAAAATGGCTAAAAACCAAAGTAGCTAAAGAAGTAAAATAAGAGACAGAAGGAAAGTACACAGCTTCATTCTTCAGTTTTTAGGCATAAAAAGATTTTAAGAACTTCCTAATTTTGCTAAACGTGCATTTACCAGCTTAGCATGCAAGAAGGAAGTTTTAAACTACTGTTCTCATAGTTGTTCATTCAAACTGGCTAGTTCTCAGATCACTATACTCTGCAGCCAGGAATCAGCAGGAAGCTGTTCCAAGATTTCCTTCGACGCAGCGGCTTCCCCCCCTCCTGAACAGAAGAGGTGGCACCAGACGCACACCAGCCTGTTAATCGCTCAGTCACCAGTCACTGTCCCATCCGACACTCACCGTGATGTGGTTGTAGATGAGCTGAGACCACCCAAACAGGTCTGCCAGCCTGTAAAGTGCCGCCAGTTTACAGCGCAGCAACTTCTCCCCTTTGTCATAGGCGATCGAATCGGACCCTCTCAGGTCATTCACAGGAGTCACCATGCCAAGACCTGGAGTCAAGAAAAGGAAAACTCAAAGATTTAGTATTTCTTACCAAATGTAAATCGAATAATAGCTGAAACATTAATCTTCCATACTGCAACATAAAGTCAGTCTCCAAAACTCAGAGACTATTTCATAAAGACTATATTCCCTAACAATACAATTAAATTGAAATTTGCAACAAAAAAGTAGCAAAACTTGTGGGATGCAATAAAGCAAAACTCAGAAGGAAGGAAACAGGTTTTTAAAAAAAATGATCTAAGTTCCTACCTTATGAAACTAGGAAGAGCAAATTAAATCCAAAATCAAAAAGTAATAATACCCTGGCTGGTGTAGCTCAGTGGATTGAGCGCAGGCTGCGAACCAAAGCATCGCAGGTTCGATTCCCAGACAGGGCACATGCCTGGGTTGCAGGCCACGGCCCCCAGCAACCGCACATTGATGTTTCTCTCTCTCTCTCTCTTTCTCCCCCCCTTCCCTCTCTAAAAATAAATAAATACATCTTTAAAAAAAGTAATAATAAAGATAAAAGCGGATTACCAAACAGAAAAGTAGAGAAAAACATTTAATCTTGAGATTAAAAATGAAATAAAATCATGAAAACAAAACAAAACAAAGTACACCTCTAGACTCACCAACAAGACACAGCCACCATGCACATCACCACCATGGACGAGAGGACGGGGACACCACCACCAATCTCTCAGACATTGAAAGCATAATACCAGGATAATGTGAGCAACTATTCCAGCAAATTTTTTAACTTAGATAAAATAGACAAATTCCTTAAAAGACACAAGCCAAGAAAGCTCACTCCATAAGAAACAGGTGTCCTGAGTAGCCCTAACTCCAGGCCCGGATGGCTGTGCTGTGAATTCCATCCCACATTTAAGGAAGAAATAGCACCAGTTCTACACACAGTCTCCCAGAACCCTTTCCAGCTCACCCCACCTGGCCCAGCACTGCCTTGACAGCAAGAGCACACAGACATCCGCATTACGTGACATCGGAAGAAAAAACATACTAATACCCATCATAAACACAGACTCAAGAATAATTAGCAGAAGACTAGTAAATAATCCCACAACACATGGAAAGAAGACATCATGACTGGGAGGGTTTAACTCAGGAATGCGAGGTTAGTTCAGCATTCGAAACCCAACTGACATAGCTCACCATGCCAAACTAAAGAGGAAAAGCCAAGGAATCATTTTAACAGGTGCAGAACACGCACTTCATAAACCCAACACCCTTTTGGACAAAAGCACTCGGCAAACCGGAAATAGAAGGAAACACCTTCAGTTTGATAACAGACATCTGCAAACACAGAGAGTGGTGAGAGACTGAATTTTTTTTTTAGAAAATGTCTTTTATTTATTCATTTTTATATAGGGGAGAGGGAGAAAGAGAGGGAGAGGAGCATCAGTGTGTGGTTGCCAACTGGGGACCTGGCCTGCACCCCAGTCAGGGCAGTCAGTAGCCCCGACTGGGAATCGAACTGGAGACCCTTTGGTTCGCAGGCTGGCGCTCAGGCCGCTGAGCCCCGCCAGTGGGGGCTGATCCCAGTCTTCCATTTGGGAACTATCTTAAGCATACAGAAAAGTATAAATCAGTATATATTAATCTTCTATTTTATATCTTTAATTTTTTAAAACTGTTTTTTAGAAGATTTTTCAGAAGATGGTGGTAGTGGCAGCCTAGTTTTAGAATCTCCTTAAATCTCTGTCTCAGCCCCACACAAAAAACTGACTACGGTAACTAGGGCAGCAAAACCCAGACACGAGGACGACTTCCACGATACCCTGGGTAGCGAGCCCAGGGCACTGAAAACACAAGGGCAGGGCTGTCCCGACAGAGTGCAGGACGCTGGCAGGGCCCGACTGCCAGCCCCGAGGCTCCTGAGAGGACCCGCAGGAGCTCCCCAGGACACACAGCGCGCCAGTGCAGAGGGAGCTGAGGCCAGGAGGGCTCCTCGCGCCCGAGTCCAAGCAAACCGCCCAAAACTGTCTTTCAGGACAAGGCCTCACACCAAGAAATGTGTAGAAATAGGAACCCACGCTGAGTACCGCAGACTACCAAGAAAGGAAAGGAGAAGGACTGGAGAGAGAGGGTCAGGTGAAAGCACGGGAGGGGGCGGAGCCTAACTCACCCCACCAGCCACCACCCTCTCCGCTCTTCAGGGGGCAAAGAGGGGGCTCCAGAGCCACAACATTAGAGACACTTTCCTGAGGCAGACCCCTCCGGGAAAACCAAGTTCATGCAGAAAAAAAAAAAAAGGAAAAATATTGTGCTCATACCATATAAAAATTACATAATAAAAGAAGTCAGAATCTCATCCCTACAGATAACGAAAGCACACAAATAAGACGTCCACCAAACAGATGAAGACAATAAACTCTTATTTCACAACAAGGTAGAGAAAGGCGTTAATATTGAGGGAGAAAAATACATTTAATATAATCAGGAAAATTCAGAAATGAGAGCTATAGCATAAAAGAGATTAGGTACTGTTAGGTCGGAGTCACTCAAGAAACCAGATGGACTCAGTGAGCTAAGGAGCAGGGTTTATTAGCGGGAATAAGGGGAAAGCGGGGACAACCTAGAGAGGCTGGGGAGCCAACCCAGGGAGGTCAGGACTCGCTCGGTTGCTCTTGGGGCAGGGTTTTTAAGCGCAAACACCCGCAAAGGGTGACTGGTTGGGGTGCCGGAGTCTGACTGGTTAGAACCGGACGCTGGGTGCCGTTTCTGCTGACCGTTGTTCTTAATACATCTTGTCAGGCTCGAGTTAAACAGGCTGAAGCTGCATCCTGTTATGCCAGATCGGCCGACCCCAGACCCCAATCTCAGCCGGGTATCTGTTTGTCCTGGGCAGGGTCGGCAGGGTCAGCAGGGAGCTTCCCAGGCAGGCATTTCCCAGGCTAGTTTCCCATGGTACAGCTTTCCTGCCTGCTGATTTTCCGTTCCTGCTAGGCCTACCTAGGTCTGTCAGGTATAAACAGAAAATAATTTTAAAAATAAATACTAAACAAGAAGGTGAAGAAAAGTTAAAGAAGGAAGAAAAAAGTTTTTAAATCATAAAAAAATGAAGGACATGATAAAAAGGACTTGAGGACAGTGACAGTCAAGGAAGACACACAGAGCCCTGCCCAGGTGGCTCGGCTGGTTGCGGCGGCGTCTCGGCCACCACAACTGCGAGTTCGATCCCCAGTCAGAGCACGTACAAGCAGCAACCGATGAATGCACTGGTAAATGGGACAACAAATCCATGTTTCTCTCTCTATCCTTCTCCCTTTCTCCCTCTCAAACCAATAAAAAAATGTTTTTAAAACACCAAGAACACCCAGCATGCATGTAATAGGAACCTCTGAAGAAACCAAAATCGAGGCAACAGAATAAATACCAGATACCAATTCAAGACAATACTGCTAAATCAAAGAACTGTGCACGGGCACATCAGCTGGTGAAATTAACCCAGAACAACCAACACCAAGACACACACTGGTGAACTTGTTAGACTCTAGAAAAACAGTATGCACATCCAGGAAATGGGACCAAGTCATTTTCATGGAAAGGTCTTCAAATTTTAATAACCATGTTTTGGGCCAGAATAAAATGCATCATGTATTTAAGATACAGCATATAGGGCCCAGCTGTTGTAGCTCAGTGGATAGATTGCTGGCCTGCAAACCAAAGAGTCACTGGTTCGATTCCCAGTCAGGGCACAGGCCTGCACTGTGGGCCAGGTCCCCAGCTGGGGGCTCATGAGGGGCAACCACACATTGATGTTTCTCTCCCTCTCTTTCTCATTGCCTTCCTCTTTCTCTAAAAAAAATAATAAATACAATCTTTTTTTAATCATATAGCATATAGGAAAACATGAGCCAGAAACTTCACATCCAAACTAAGAAAACCAAATTAAGCGACTGAACTACACTAGCCAGGCCTTCAGGATGGAGGTTTGTGCTAATAAATTACATGTCTCTAGACATGAAAGAGATATCACTCTGATGAATGTCAGTCAACTTCTAAAAGTACCATGGACAGGACAGGTAAAGAGCAAACGCCAGGCGACATTCTGGCACTGGTCTCTCAAAAGCTGTCCATCCAGCGGGGCCCGCCAGAGCTGGACCCAGGGCCTGGTACCCAGGAGGCCACGTGAGCTGCGGTGCGGCTGCAGTGACCCTGGACTCCACGCTGCACAGCTACCCGTTCTTTGCTCACGCTCTCACATTCGTGCACCCAGTTCACGGAGTTTCTCTGTGTCTCACTCACTTGCAAGCTGCAGAGAGAAGTGGTGGGTGAGATCGCCGGCCTCACCAAAGCGAGTTCAGGCGAAGCCAGTGCGCCGCTCCACGGGCACGTCGTCCCTGTTAGTGTGGCTCTCTCAGGCCACGCACGGGAAGCCGTGTGAGAAAGTCGCCTACCTGAGAAGTCAGTCTCTCGGGCTCATAAAGATGAGCTCTCTACATCAAGACACTTTCAGGCTTACAGCCTATTTTTTCCTATAACTAAAGCACATTAACCTTCAGAAACCTCCATTCTCTGTATCACACCGACTTCGCCTAAGAAAGTGTCCGGAGAGTCCTCCCGGAAGGAGACAGCACGCGGGGCCCGGAGCTACTCACTCATGTTCAGGGCGGCCAGCCCCCCTTGCGGGGCTGCCGGGTAGACGTTGGGAACAGTCGTGGTCATAAAATCGGCAATCTGCTGCAAGGCCAGCAGGCCGGTGGGGTTCTTCCCCTTCTTAAATTGCTCCTGTATCATCGACTCCAGCTCTTCACAGAAAGCCTGCAGAAAGGCAAAAGCGAACAGTGAGGCACCATTTCCTCTCTGTCCCCGGGGAGGTCAGGGCAGCTCTCGTCCAGCACCAGGAAGGTGCAGGGACGCGCCCAGAGCGCTGCTACGTGAAGCATGAGCTGGCACATTCTTTGGGGAAAATAAGCTAACAATATAAAAGCTTAAAAGTCTGAGCAGACATTCTATTCCCAGGAATTCTTCCTAAAGAAATAACCAGGGATGTGCTCAGGATTTGTTCGTGAGGATGACCATCCCAGCAGTACTGACCGAAGGGACAGTCCCCGTGGGCAACAGCAGAACACCAATGGAACGCACACACCCACCCGACAGCACAGTTGTATGCACGCATTCAACACAGCAGCCAAAAAAATATAAATGACATAAATTTGCTCTTGATACATACTGGAGTTAAAAAGGTTATAAAGCAACACAACCAGAGGTAGGATTGAGGGTGGGAGGTAGGGGTAGGTGGGGCAGGGAAAAGTGGTGGCGGGAAAATGGAGACAACTGTACTTGATCAATAGATATTTTTAAAAAATAAATAAATAAAATAAAAAGACTAAAAGCCCTGGCTGCTGTGGCTCAATGGACTGAGTGCCGGTCTGCAAACCAAAGGGTCACTGGTTTGATTCCCACTCAGGGCACGTGCCTGGGTTGTGGGCCAGGTCCCCAGTGGGGGGCATGTGAGAGGCAACCACACACTGATGTTTCTCTCCTCTTTATCCTTCTCTTCCCCTCTCTCTAAAAATAAATACATAAAATCTTTTTTAAAAAAGCAATATAACTGGTTTTTATAAGAGCAAATACACATGTAAACACAGAAAAGACTAAAAGTAATACATCAAAATGTTCATTGTAATGCTCAGTGATAGAATTACCAGTAATTGTCATGTTCTACTTTGTACTTATCAATATTTGCTTCATAATACATTTTTTGAAATTATTTAAAGTTGAAAAAGAAACCTTGAAACACTCACCCTTTATCAGTAACCCTAACTTAGGCAGAAAGGCCAAGTTAGGTTGATGGTGGCTTGAACATGAAGTCACCACTGAAACTTGACACATAACGTATAGTTTCCCTGAACTGTGTGACAACACTTTATCACATACGAAGAAATAAAGAAGAGATAAATCTTGTCAGGTAATTGTAAATAATATCTCATGTGAGAGTGCGAGCTCACCAGTTATCCAAATCTGAAGTACTCCAAGGGCTTCTGGGTGATTTTACACTAAAAGCATTTCTAGTTTCCCCAAGGGTCAGACTAAGTCAACGGGAGGGAAGCATGCAAAAGCAAGTGCACTGGTGTTAATCTGGTGGCATAAAGGAGCGCCAAGAGCCAGGAGCCCCGCCGTCCTGTTAGGGAGCAGCCCCGGGGGAAACAAGGCGGGCCCCTGTCCAGCACAGCACACCGAAGAACCCAACACGAGAGGCGAGAAACAGAAAGGAGACGTGCCTCACTGCTGACCCGGCAGTGCAGGAGGAGAGCCCTGGAAATTCTGTACGCACTGTTTCCACCAGCTGGGAAAGAAACCCTTTAAAACCGTGTTCTGATCCTAAGCTCTAGAAGGGAAGGAGGAGGGGAACCTAGAAGCTGACTCAAGTATACTACCCCTGAACCCCAATAGTCGGCGCACTCAGATCAGCTGAGCGCCCGCTTGCAGCCAGCTGCTCTAGTGCACAGAACAAACTCACTGACAACTGCAGTTCCTCTGTACGTGGGGCATTCAGACTGGCGGGCGCCTACTGGCAGCTTTGTGCTCTCGTGTTTCATCAACAGACTTGCTCTCTCGCTCCATCACACGTGTTTGTCTCTCGTCTGAATTCTCCTGTGAGCGAGGCAAGAACCAAGGAGAAGGAGCCCCCTAACTAGGGTCTCCCCAGTAGCACAGCCACATCATGCTACATAATGTCCTACATCACATTCCGAGGTTGTCAAGGAGAGAGGGAAAAGCTAACAGCGGCTTCGACTGCAAGGAAGAAACCAGAAGAAACTGCTGTCCCCAAAACATGGCCAGGGGGCCCTCTTTGATGACAATGCCCACTGCACAGCTACAACTAAAGAGATACAAAGACAGGGGCTGCCACGCCCTCTTCCAACCATGTTTTTTTGACAAGGTCCGAACATGGAAAGAGGGAATTCAAAGAATCCATCTTCCTGGAAGAGAGCGTGGCATACAAAGGGGGGCAGTAATTTTCCTGGGGATTGCTCTTAATAATTTCCTTGCTAATACTGATCATGGTCTGACTTTGTACCCTGATTCCCATAAGAACAGGCCATGAGGAGAAAAAGTCTCGAAGTGAGTCAACGATTAACTTTGAGAGAAATTCTGAAGGGACAACTAGTTCTCCCTAGACTATTGAATCATGCCCAAATTGTTTAAACAAGGTGTTTATAAACCTGAGTAAGAAACTATGCCCGATTGTTCCCATAAAAGAATTCATGAATCAGTTACAACAGGCTGAGTTATTGGCAGGCTTTCCCACGCCTGTTCCTTACCCATAGAAACAAAGAGTCTTTCAAGAAAACAAGAAAAAACTATATAGACCCCTACCCACAGCCCAGGGATACCCCTGGGCAGCATATTGGATTAATGGCAAATTATGGTATCCCCCAAGAAGAGCTAATAGTCTCCAGAGGGTTCCAGATCCCCCATTGCCTTATACAGGAGCATATAATGAGGGTGGCATTAGAATGGTCAATGAGGATGGAGTCCAAGTGCCTTATAATAGTCTAAATTTCATGGAAAGGCTAGCTCGAAGCAGACCCCCCTGGTGTTTATTAATTAAGGAACAAAAAAGGTTTACTGTGGCTGGATTTCCTGTTTATCTCTCCTTACATGTTTGTTTTGGTGATCAAAAGGTGGTGGGATTGTTAGACACCTGTACCTCAGGTTTATTAATTCGCATAATTCCAATGAAGTTGTACAAAATAATTTCTTGACTAGAGAACAAAATCCCCTCTAATGAAATAGCCCCTGAATGTCTAAAAGTTGCTGGAGTAACAGCCCCTCCTTTACCTTGAATAGGAATATACATCAAGTAGAATTAGGCAAAGAAATAAGAAAAGCTGGTTAGCTGTTACAAACTAAGCACGTAAAAACAGTTACCAGGGAGTCAGATGACAAATTCTGAGAACTTTAATAAAGAATAAGACATTCAAACTCTACGTACAGCTATTTCTAATTGTCTGATTTATGGCTCTCCTGGTCAAAACAATCTCTGTTTAATATAATTGAATCTATGGAAACTTTCATACTTTTCCTGGTTACCTTTGTATTAATTTTTTCCTGCTTCACCTAACCGCAAATGTCAATCACTGCCAAAAATGAGAGTATGAAAACCTGCCTGCACTCGCAATAAACGGGACAGAGCATCACCGTCCCCTGAGGCGTGCTGTCGTCTGTCTCCCGTCGCTGACGCCTCACCCACCTTTCAGGAACCCCTGGACCCCGCTGCGGCCGGGCTGCGGCAGGGGCCCTGCTAACCTCACAGAGTATGAAGGGGTACAGGGGACACAAAAACTGAATTAAACAGCTCCTTGCCCTTGTGGGCCCTCAATCTGAAAAATCAATCTATTTCTATGGTTTCCAGATCCATATACAAATCAACTGAATATACACCACTAATGTCCTACACACACTCCATGACACTGTGACTGAATATACACACACTGTTCAACACAGGACAGATGGTCCTTGCTATCCAGGAACGTAGAGCTTAGTGAGGGCAACACACACACACACACACACACACACACACACACACACACCCCCTTCTGGACCCCAGAGGGGCTCCGCCTGCAGTCACCAGCCGATGACCTTGCATGCTTCTAGGGCCCTAGCTCCTGGTGGTTCAACACCCACCTTCTCACCTCTCGCTTCCTGACCGCCTCTCCTCCAGTGACCCGTCACCCAAATCGCCCCGGCCCCCTGCTTCTGCGGACAGCCCCCGACCTGCTCGCTCCTCGTAACCGGGCCCCTCTCAGATCTCAGAGCCAAGCATGTGCTCTCCAAAGAGCCCCTTCTGGCATCCACCCCCTCTTTCTTCAACACCATGGTGACCCTGAAACCTTTTCACTGTCCCGGACCTCCCCTGTGCCCCGACCTCCCTCACCCTTAGACCCTTGGCTGAACACTATAGTCATTCCCTTGCCGTCCCCCGAACTCTCTCCTTTCCACCATTTCCTCTGGCAAAATCCAAGCCCTGGCTGAATTCAGCTGTTCACCACCCCCTGACCTGCGATGCTGAAGGCAGCTGGAGAAAAGCAGCAAGGCCAGGCTGCGCTGTCTCCCCATACACTCTGGACCACTCACCTGAGTGCACCCCCACATCAACCCCACAACCATGCTCGACTCTCTTTGCCCACCCCCCGCCCGCTCATGTGCCCGTCCTCAGTGGAGGACTCCACCAGCTAATGTCACGGAGAACAGCCCAGGTCCTTCACATCCATCCAACGATCGGCCTGTGTGCACAGGGCAGGCCTTCCCACTCCTCCCTAAAACCAAGATGCCAGCTCCAGGGACATGCCTCTGAAGTAAGCCCAGCTTCACCCATCTCCCCCTAATGCAGGGTCCCAGGCTGCATTGAGATGGACAACTGGGGTGAGGGGCTTCACTGTCCTTGAATCCCCAGTACCTAACACATACTAGGTGCTGAAAGTTTGGTTGCTTCACTGTATCCCCAATAATTTTTACTTAGTTTCTTGTTGCTTTTACGTAGGAAAACTGCTCAAGCCAAGTCTAGATGGTATCCCAATTCTTTTGTTGCCTCTCACCTCTTCCTGCTGTTCATCCCACATTAAAAATGAAACTCGAGGAGTCCACCTCTCTCCACCTCTATAGTAGCAGCCTGACCCAAGCCACCATCATCTCTGGCTTGGAAGACGGCTTTCTCCCTTGCCCCACAGGATGCCCTCTCTACATCAAACCCAGACTGAATTCTATAAAACCTCAATCGTGTCTCTCCTGTCTGCAGCCCACCAGTGGCTCTGTCGTACTCTGAATGCAAAAGGAACCCCTGATCTGAGCTTCCCCGCCCTCCCAGGACCTGCTCCCTTCTCCCTCCCCAACCCTGTGCACCTCCTCCCCGTCCCTCCCTGTGCTCTAATACGTGGGAGCCCAAGCTCATCCCCGTCCTAGGAATGCACCTGGGCCCCTCCCTCAACCCGGAATGCCCCTCCCCAGGACCCTGCACAGCCACCAGCTTCTTCAGAGCTCAGGTTCACCCTTCCTTCCTCAGAGAGGCCAGTCCTAACCAAGTCACACGCAGCTAAGCATCCAACTGTTTCTGGTAGTGCATCTGTTCGCTCCTAACTATGTCCCTTCAGCTAGAATGCAAAGTTTGAGCCTTGATCTGGTGCTTGCAGGGGGGTTACACATCTGTCAAAATTCATCAACCTGTCTGTCCACTTAAGATCTGTGCATTTATATGTGTTACACCTCAGTAATACGTGAATAGTAGTAACAGCCAACAAGTAAATCTCGAGTTAGAGGCCAGTTCCTTGAACAGCACATAAGAGATGACGAATAATAATAAATTCATTGACTATCTGCCAATGGTCCTCCAAAATATTAAGGGAGTAAAGAAACACTACGTCAGCAGCATACGACAAGCAGGGCAGCAGTGTGCACATAAAAAAAATAAAAAACGACAGCACTCCTTTATCTAGAGATGTAACCAGAAGGCACTTTGTTGGGTGTGACTGTCTTTCAAGATGCTGATCAATCAGTAAACCAAGCACTGCTGAGGCCTACCAAGTGCCCAGCACCAACCTGGGTATTGTAGAGGAAACAGTGATTTTTAAAAGGTTTCAATAAATACTTGCTGGAGAAGCAGTAAGAGTGAAAATGAGAAACACCCGTTATCCTTTATGACACAAGATGTTTCCTTTCATTTTTTTTTAACCCTCACCTGAGGACATGCTGATTGACTTTAGAGAGAGGGGGAGAGAGGGAGCGAGAGGGGGAGAGAAACATCAGTGAGAGAGAGAAACACTGGCTGCCTCTTACACATACTTCAACCGAGGACTGGACCTACAATGAGGGGCCCCGTGCCCTGACCGGGAATTGAACCCAGGAGCCTTCAGTTTACAGGACAACACCCAACCAACTGAGCCACACCGGCCAGGGCAGGGTTTTCCCTGTGCTGTGTCCGATCACTGGAACTGCACTGGACTCTCTCGTCAGTGGCGCCCACGCAGGAGGCGGGACCACAGCACACACGGCAGCGCGCAGGAGCTGAGCGCGTGGGAAGGCAGGGACCCTTCGGGAAGGAGCTGCTCTTACGGGACTCTGCAGAATCATGGACACCCTCTTCTTCTGCTCCATCATGTTGAAGTCCTGGCGAAGGTCAGGCGCCATGTTCCTCTCTCGCAGGTACTCTGGGTTGTTCTCGTCCACCCTGTCGAAGTACCTCTCTTTGTGAGGGGCTGTGGTCGGGGGCGGTGAGGTCACCACTGCGGCCTGAGTATCACCATTCATTGCACAAGCTTTCCAGGCCCCTAGAGAATCAAAATGAAAGAAAGTATTGTTGTTTGAATCAATGTGCAACAGCATCTCACAAACAGTGCGTCAGCCTGACAAATGCATGCATCTTCAGCGTGAGGACGCTCTGACCGACTGACCGGCCCAAGGCATGGCGTGTGCGGCTTCTTTGTGGCCTCGGGTCACAGGGCTGACCAGCCTTCTCGTGCCCTCCCACCAGCTAATGACATTCTTGTCCTTGCCACTGTTCTTCAGCAGACAGCAGAGGAACAGTCTACCAAAGCTATTCAGTCCTCTGACAATCTGAAGAACTAGACGGTAAAAATCTGACAAGATAGTTTAAAGTCAGGCCATCGTCCCACACCAATAGGATCTGCTAACAGCAGCATAGTTCCCTTCTGGAGAAAGCTAATGTACAGTGTTTCCCCTGAAAAGTATCGGTAGTGACTCTGCAAAGGACTCCCAAAGAGATCAACAGGAGAGAAGCTGCTCACACACCATCCACACAAATAAATGATCCTCATCAACACCACCTGTTTGGTTCAACAGTCGGTACTGAAAATATCAACATGCCCTGCTTTGTAAACAACCTAAAAAATACACAAAGGGCACAAATTTAAAAGTCTGGCCATCTACTTCCTTTACATTCTTTTTAATCCCAATTTCTTATTTGCAGTGGTGCCCAAACATCACAAATTACACTCATCCTTCACCGCCACACCTCTGAGAGCACTTTCTCGTCATCATGCGGGCAGTTCCATCGCTACTGTTTCCACGCCACACGGAGGCACAGCTGCAACGACGTCCACGCAGCACACGCTGGGCATCTGCTGTGTCTAGTCCCCGTGCTGGCACAGAAATCAATTCGATGTGGTCCTCGCTGTGGGGAAGCCGGACTCACCCAGAAGAGCGGAGGTGAGGGTTCAGAAACGGGAAATAACAGGGCCGGTGTTCACGGAAGCCGTCTGGCTACAGAGCTTTTCTTCTTAACCTCTAAGCCGCATTTTAAGTGATAATGACGACAGTGGGTGGCAGCAGACGGGGTGGTGGACGAGGGAGGGGTGTCCCCAGAGGAAAGAAGGGAATGAGGGGCACTGGGCCAAGACTGGCCTTGAACAGGAGGCCCTGGAAATTTGGGGCTGGCATGGTCAGCTTTTTAATGTGCATACAGAGGGCAGGGAAAAGTAGATTTATAGTTGTGAGTACATGAAACACGCTTTATTCTTGCATTACTGTTTGATTATTGTATTACTTTCCATACAAAAACCTGTAAACTTCCTTTTGCTCTGCCCTGTAAATCATGTGGGGGTCATAGTAAAGCACAAACTCAGAGCCAGTAGGTCTGGGAGGGGCCTGAGACTCTGCATGTCTCCTGAGCTCCCATGTGACACCAGTGCCACTGAACTTGGGCCACAATTCAGCTTTAAAGAATAGTTTATTTGTATCAAAAATATTTTGTAGTACCAACAGCCAAAGAATCCGTTTAAGAAAACTTTTTAATTTAATTTTATGTTTATTTTTAAAAATATTTATTTATTTATTTGTAGAGAAAGGGAGGGAGAAGTGAGGGAGAGAAGCATCAGTGTGTGTTTGCCTCTCGTGCGCCCAGTCACGTGCCCTGACTGAGAATCGAACCAGCGACCCTTTAGTTCTCAGGCCGGCACTCAATCCATGGAGCCACACCAGCCAGGGCAAAACTTTTTTTAAATCAATTTGGATATTGCCCTTCTGAAACCTAAAGCTATGACAGAAGTAACAGCACACTTAAAGAGACACTATTTCAAGCACTGTAGAGTACTTGGAAGACTGTAACAGTAGTCTTTAAGAGTACTGTTAAGTCTTTAAGAGTACTCTAAACATTTCCTTTAAAATTTTTAGTTAGTCTGTTCGTTTTAACCTAGTTTCTTCTAAAACAGGGGTGTCAAACTCATGTTCACCAGGGGCCATATCAGCCCTGTGGTTGCCTTCAAAGGGCCGAAATACTTTCAGGGCTGTATACATGTAACTACTCCTTAACTGTTAAGGAGCTGAAATTACATTCAGCCCTTTGAAGGCAACCGCAAGGCTGATGTGACGCCCAGTGATGAGTCTGACACCCCTGTCTAAACGACCCAAGAACAAAATAATAATGGTTGCCAGACATTTCACTAGATGTTAAGTGAAACTGAACATTTTGAACTTGATAAAAATGTTCTACTTCATTTTTTAAAAAAGACCAAAGGATATACAGTTAATAATTTCTCTATTACCAAAGGAGTCCCAATTTTAAGGCGTTCTGTCCATGAACAGGGGCAGAGGGACATTTAAGAGACAACTACTGCTGCTCCCCGGCCCCAGAGCCGAAGGGGAGCGAAGAGCCCTGTGAAGGCAGCAGGCCAGAGACGGGGCGGGAAACAGCGCCCTGTTTACTGCGCACTGCCCTGGGAACGGGCTGCCGGCCGGCATACACGCATCCCAGGCCTCCAGCAAGGAGGTCTACAGACGTAAACCACAAGGTGCACACATTCTGAACGCGATAATCAAAAAGAAACACAGTTCCATTTTTAAAGCACAAAACCTATATTTGTTTTTTTGTCAGTTGTAAGACAGCAAATTTTTTCAAGGAAAATCCCTACCAAGTTACAAATCCAATTTTCAAAATGGAAACACACAGATATAAAAAATTCTCTATATGTGGGGCCAGGTGGCACTTAAAATACTGAGGGACTACTCTATAAAATACATGACTGTCCAACCGATACACTGCACCCCTGAAACTAATACAGGGTAATGTGGCATGTAAACAGTAATAAAGGAACGGAGAAAGGAAGAGAAACCAACCCAGATTCAGGCTTTCAATACAGGGTGGGGCAAAAGGTTTACAACTGTCTGTATTAAAAATAATACAATAATTAACAAATAATGATACAAGAATAAACTCTTGTGTTTCATGTACTTACAATGATAAACCTACTATTCTGCCCCATCCTAAGGTTATTTTTACATCTGAGTAGGTTTATTTTTTATCTGAAAAAATAGAATGGATTCCATATCTGGCCTAGGAACATTCTGATTAATAAATCTCAAAGCGCGCCCTGGCTGGTGTGGCTCAGTGGATTGAGCACCAGACTTTGAACCAAAGGGTCGCCAGTTCGATTCCAGTCAGGGCACATGCCTGGGTTTCAGACCAGGTCCCCCCCCCGGGGGGGGGGCCTTCACATGCTAGAGGCAACCACATGTTGATGTTTCTTTCCCTCCCTCTGTCTAAAAATAAATAAATAAAATCTTTTAAAAAATCAAAATAAATCTCAAAGAGCAACATTTTTATTTTCTGCCATGCCAAATAAAAGATGAAATCCATCTGGAAATAAATAAAAAGTAGCCTTTTGTCTTGTTACAAAAAAAAGCACTTTTGCCAACTTAATTTTAAGAGTAGTAATAAATAATGTCTAATACATGGATGGTTGTCATAAATATTGACATCCAAGACAATATTATAAAACTATGAAGATTCTTTAGCCTCATATACATAAGAGATTATAACATGTTTAAATGAAAACTATATAATTTCCTATTGTATAATCTTATCCATATTATCATAATCACACACAGACAAGATAATATCATGGCAAATAAACTGTAAACTTGAATAAATTGATTTATGAAGTATGGATTGATGTTTCTCTGTCTCAATATTCTATAAATTGCTGTAATTTTACCTATGTAAAAATCTCAAGATTTCAGAAATCTTAACAGGCCGATACCTAAACCAATGAGGTCTCTGGGAGCGACCCTTTCAGACATACCCGCCCAACAGAGCCCAGCAGTCCGGATGAACCACAACAGAGAAGCCCGCCCTGCCGTGAGGCCACTCACATCCAGCCCGTCTCCATTCTGACCACACCATCCACGCTAGGTAATGACCGCTCACCTCCTGGGCAGCGACAGCTGCCAGTGACCCCCACCCCCCGTCCCTCCTCCACAGCCGGGCCAGAGAGCAGTTCAAAACCACGGTCGTCACTCCCTGCTTCACACCTGACAGTCGACAGAAGGGCCTTGCATTGAGAGATGCAAGCAAACTGTAAGATGAAAACCTTAAAATGAAATTTGAGACAATCAGAAATTTGAGCACTAACTAGACTTGGATGGCATCAAGAAATGACTGTCAAAACTCTTAGGTGTGATGTTATCATGGTCGTGTTGGACACTTACAGAAGTATTTGCGGATAAAATGGCAGGACCCTGCACGGTGCGGAGGGAGAGTGAGGGCTGCACGGGGCAACCAAGACTGGCCGTGAGCGCTCACTGCCGGCGCGGGTGAAGGACAGAGCAGCTCCACCACACCGGGTACTCTTGCGCCCGAACTGCCCTCAGAGTAAAGTGCCTCCAGACCGCCCATCCCCTGGTCTCGGCCTGCCCTCGCGTGAACTCATTTCGGCAGGTCCTTCCAGACAGGCATCACTGATTCTGGGATGAAAGATTATTTTCGGATTAGCGTTCCGCTCTGCCTAGTATGCCGCTGACCGACCTCGAACTGACAAAGGGCACCCTGACACGTGCTCTCCTAGCAAGGGCATGCAGTGCGGCCCCAAGAGGATCCGTGTAACTAAGTAACTAAGTAACTAAGTACCATGTAACTAAGCCTCACAACAGGAGCCAGACAAATTTTTGCCTAAAATACCTAATGAGCTTATTCTAAAGCTTTAGGGCAGATTCCACTATTCCTTAGCATTTTCCTTCTGGCGCAGACACTTGGCTCATAGCTAACTATTTCAACTACTCGCATGATTTACTCCTGAACCCCTAAAGGCAGAACACTCAAACCGCAGCCGGAACAAGAAGGTGGCTCCGACAGGGATGCTGTGGGCAGGGCATCTGCTAGGAAACGCAGAGGGTTTCGTCAGTTGCTAAACTCTCTTAGAACACCTCTCAGTCGGCCACCGACTGCCACGCAACCATGAATTACTGTGCCACGGAGAATAGACCAGGACGCATCACACACACACTCAACGGGAGTGGTGGCCTCTGCTGGAGTCCC